ATCAGTCTGCCTCAATCAGCGATGGCTTCAGGTAGTTTCCACTAATCACTCATTGGAGAGGCAGAGTGAAATCTGCTGTCATTCCCAGGCTTGATGAACCCTGCAATTTTGAGATCTGAGATTGCTGCTATCAATAACACACATCTAAACAAGTGTCGGAGAGAGGTATGCATTCCCTAAATAATAGCAGTGTCACGGCACAGAGTCGTAGGCCATGTGTTCCTCCCCGCTCTCCCCACTCCTTCAGCATTTGGAGAAGGTATGTTTGAATCCTGTGACTGACTCAGTTTGGACAGTTGGGAATCAGAAGATTAAATAGTGACTATTCTCAAAGAATCAGAGGAGAGGGAGTTAGGGAACTTAGGGAAGTTGACCCAAGCCATAGGACAGCCCCCACTACATCATGCTCCCATGGGGTTGCCTACTGTGGGACAGGGAAAAGGGAGACAGCCACAGCTAGCTCACTACAGTCTGCTTGCTTGCTTGCTTGGTAAGCATGTCATTCTTGGTCTGTATATGCCACATCTGGCAGTATTTTCAAACATTGGCTAATAACAACAAGTCAAGACTCCTCAGTCAGTCTTGGATGACCTTTCTGGAGGACTGCAGCTGTGGCAGCAAGATGAAATGGGTGGGGATGTCCTATTAATAACCAACATCTGAGTGAAGTGCAAATTGCTTTACACTTGTGTGGGATTCGCCTCGAAGCTCCCATATGCTGAGGATTTGACTGTCATTACAGACTAGAGTGACTGGGATCTGACACGTTTCTGCACCTGGTCTGGGCAGGCAGCCATGACTTTTGCAAGGCAGTGGCTGCAGAAGGGCTAGTACAAGACAGTTGATTTAGAACTAAAAAAAAAAAATGCTTTGTGTAGTTGTAAATGCACCCTGGGGTATGTGTCATTCTTCATTGGGAAACCTAGGAAAAATAAACTCAAACGCAATCAGGTTTTTTGGAGTTATGGCCCAAGTTTGAACTCTTGCCTTCAGTTCCTCTCCACCAGTCACATATCCCCTGCTAGTTCTCAGTCCTCTGAAGCTGCAGCTCTTGTTATCCCTGAGAACAGATGTCCATCGTGTGTCTGGTCTTGGGCTGTGCCTTGTCCCACACATAATCCATTTTTTAAAGACACGGTGTTTGTTTCTCCAATCTGCCCAATGGATAAACCAAATCTCCAAGGCTACAACCAGAGCCCTGTTGATGAAGTTGCCCCATCAGTTCCACATTTCACATCTGTGTCTGATTTATTCATTACTTTGACTATACAGTTTAGGAGGAAAAGCTTCTGATTTACATAACTAAGTAGTGGAATGACCAAATGCACAGAATAGGGATCAGAGCTCACCTCTGCTGCTTACAAAGAGGTGTAAAATTGGCCAAGTTGTGGGGTCTGTCTGTGTTTCAGGAAGAGAGGGTAATATTAGTACTTAAGTCACAGAGTTGGCATGAGGGTGCAAAGCAAGCACCTGCCAACAGGCTTGGTTAGCCACTTCATCAAAGAAGACATACAGATGGCAAATAAGCATATGAAACAACACTCCACATGATTAATTTTAGGAAAATGCAAATTAAAACCACAATGAGACACCATCACCCACCTGTTAAAACCCGCAGTTAGACAAACACCTCTTTCATCCCTAGATATTTATCCCAACGAAGAAATTGGATACATGCATACAAAAAGGTTTTTTTTTCCTCTTGGGGTGCCTGTGACAAAAGAAAAAATGGTCACTTTTATAAATCAAATTACTACATTAAAAATAGTTTAGGTGAGATTTTTCAAAGAGCATTTCATTTAAAAATCAACGTTTAATGGATGGATCTGTCGCCACCCATAACCCACATACATCTGAGAATTCCTATGAGCACATAAGGATCAAACTGAGCTTCCTCACATGGCTGCTGTAAGGGTGCTTTTGCAGCTGGACATGAACATATCCTGTGACCATGAAGTGATGTGAATGGACCAGTCTTGATAACGAGGGAGGACCCAAGATGAGCACTCACATTTTCAGACTGCAGAAAGCCTGCAAGACGAAAGAAAACCAATCACACCTCACAGGGATAGATGCACAATGCCTTATTTCCCCAATGCAAGTGTTCCTGCATCAGAATTGCCTAGGATACTTGGAAAAAATGTAGAAATCTGGGTCCTGCCCTACACTCAGTGAGTCAGAATCACCGTGGACAGGGAATAGGAATTTGAACTTTTAGAGAGAGCTGATGCATGTGGTAGCTACAACCGGAGGATGATGCCTTGACCTTAAACCCTCTCCATGAAGCACATGTGTTGTCCCTGTTTCTTGTACAGGTGACACGTGCTGCAGCCTCCCCGAAAGGCAATGATCCCTGTGGTGAGAGGGAGCGCAGAGTGCTTGGAAATAACTCTCGGATACGCATCAGCATTGCCAGCTCTCCCTCAGCATTGCTGCCTTCTTTTCCTTAGGGTTACACTTCAAGATTTTCACTAATCCTGTATCGGTCCTTGTAACTTATCTGGTGGTAATGCAAATGCATGCGTGTCATTTCTTTCCATCTTGTCATTTCCTTGAAAACACCAAGTCACTCAGAATTGCATGGTGGCAGCTTACCTTGGAGAGTGCGTCTGAGGTGTGTGCCTTGAACTTTATAGCTGCGTGGGAACATAAATTGGAAATCAGGAAGTGAGAAGTAAAAAAGTGAAAAACAGGATTGGTGCACACTGCCGCTTGGTGCCGCTCAGGCTGGTGAGAACACGGAGCAAAGACGTCAGCTCCGTCTCCTGTCTTCTCGTTGGAAACAGCCCGGATTGTCTTCTTCTGTCCACAAGGAGAGGGAATAAGAACCTCAGATCCATCTCTAACTTGCTTCTTCAGTTATTTTGAATTTTTTTTTGTCAAAAGGCACTGCATAAATATCTGTAAATGTCATCACAGGACTCGCTAGTGCATTTGGAGCTCTAGGAGCCACATAAGGCAAGAATGTTGGAAGACACTGGGAGGACTGCTGGGGGGACACCCTGAGAGGTGCACCTTACGTGGTTGCCATGTAGTAATGTGGCCCTCAGTTGCCAGATATTCAGATTGTTTTTACAGAAGACACAAGATTTCCAGATGTTTTTTTTTTCCAAGAAAGAAGCACACCAAAATCAAATTCCTCTTTCATTTGCAAAATGAGGAGGAAAATACATTGACTAGGACAAATGAAAACCTCCAAGCCACTTTACACTTTCTGACTGACTGTTGGTGACCTCTGAATTATATACTGTTACTCAGAACCACGATCTTAGAACAACTGAAAGAAAATTGGGCCAGTGCGGAACACCATTTTACCCATCCAGTCATCCTTCGGCATCATCAGCCCCTTCCCACTCGAATCATTATAGAAGGATGTGAAACTCAGCTCAAATACAAGCTTGGTTTTCATGGGAAGCTGGATAGTTCAGGAACCGTAGGTCCAAACAGTAACTTGCAAAATTCCATTCAACACCAGCCTGAAGGTTAGTTTTCCATCTGCTTTAGTTTTCTGTTAGACAGGGACATTCTGAGGACACCTGGGTTTTCCATCCCATCAAGCACAAGAGTCTGTATTCCTGAAAGGACGCCTTCTCTCAGTCAAAGTGGGGCATAGGAAGGGCCAGGACTAAGGACAGAGCATTGAACTCAAGAGTATAAGGTCAGAAAGAAGCAATATCAAATTGTCTTTGCTGGGAAGCATGGGCACATGTGATGTGGTCAAAGATTGCCTTCCCTTAATTTTCATGAAAGACCCTTTCCTTTTATTTATTTAAAAATGAAGAAATGATTCTCACGGTCGGTGCTACTGAGTGATTCTTAGGAAGTATCTGATATGCCAGGTTTCTATTTGCGTCTAGGCTGTAAGCTGTAACTGACTTATAAAATGTGAAGAAGACATCTCCAGTTGAGAGATGTTGTGGGAGCTTGAGTTATCTTCAACTTGGTCCTTTCAAATTTCTAGTAATATGAATGATGTCCTGCATTATTATTTGTTACCATGGGGTGGGTTTGGGGAGGGGAATCTAGTGGTAAGAATCCCAGCAGAAAATTGGCAGGGTAACCAGAGATTTTAACCTAAGAATCTACCCTGTCCTGCCTAGAGAGGAGCAATTTACAGGACGTGGATAGGCAAGAGGAGCAACAGGGTGCAAGAGGCATCTGGAAGTTCAGAAGCATCACCAGAACACCTTTACCCACCCTCACTCTAGAGGGGCAGGAGTAAGGAGGAGCATGGCTCAGTTAACAAACCATGTGCAAGAGCTCCTGCAGTGGGAGTCAGCTAGCAGGATCCGCCTGGGAGGAAGCATCCCTGCCCCACCCTGCCCTGCCTTAGTCTGATCCTGCCGACTCCTCCCTGGGACTGACTCAGAACCCACAACAGAGAGGACAAGGAAACCCACGGGATCCATTGCACTGGGGTCAGCTGCCTGGGTCTCAGAGTAGAGCTGAAAGTGGCGGGGATGAGTCCTAGGAAGAAAATGGAGGAAACAGTGGTCCATGGCATTGAGCAGCAGGTAAACATTGTACACATAATAAAGGGCATACTTGAGCCCCGATGTAGTTGTCTTCTTTTCTGTTTCAGTATGCTTGGAATCAAAGGTTAGAAAATTTGTATTGAGTGGGAGTTGCTTATGGTGCCATTTTTCTATTACTGTGCCCATCAGGCATCACTAATTGATTGCAGATTTCTTTCCTTCCGATCCCAGATGAGACCACAAGCTTTCATCCTGGGTCCAGGCAGCCGTGAATGATTGACACGTCTCTCCCTGTCAGCAAGTGATACAGCGTGCTTTAAATATTCAAACGGGAAGCTTCACATTCTTTATAATGCCTAATGAGAGTTTCCTCTTGACACGTACCTCACGCTCTGAAGGAATTGCCTTATAGACTTTTGAATTGCCCACCTGCTTCATGGAGAGCATTCCTGGTTTGGAAGAAGCCAGGAGACCACCCCACTTATAAAAAGTCCTGATGAGCCTTCTCTTTCTCACCCTTTTCAGGTTGACCGGACAGAAGTGATCCGCACCTGCATAAACCCAGTGTACTCCAAGCTGTTTACTGTGGACTTCTACTTCGAAGAGGTGCAGCGCCTGCGGTTTGAAGTCCATGACATTAGCAGTAACCACAATGGGCTGAAGGAGGCCGACTTCCTTGGTGGCATGGAGTGCACACTTGGACAGGTGTGTTAACAAGTGTCCCGTTTCTTTTTCCCCTTGTCATCCTCTCCCCTTATCTATTACTGCCTTCTTTCTTGCATTGATTTTGTTTTCTTTCATATGTAGTCTTAGACAGTTTTCCAGGGACTGTCAGGTTTGTAATATGTATATAGGAACCTGCAAATCTGAGAAATTACTTGGCAAAATTAATGCTTTTCTCTTCAGAATGTCCTCATGGCCTCTGTCATTGATTCAGCAATCAGTTATTGAATGTTTAGTATGTGTCTGGCTTCGTGCTCATCTGTGTCTGCCAAGGGGCCACATGTCTCATAGTAAGTTCCCGTCTTCCAACTCAACTGTGACAGCTTCTACACAGAGTGTATTTCCCATTCGCATTTATCCCAAGTTTTTGATGCCAAAAACAACCTAAGATAGAGACTAAATAGATACTTGGTGAATGAATAAGTGGTTTTACTTAATTCTCACAGTGACAATGCAAAATGAATAACATTCGCATACACATTTAACTAGTGAAAAAAAAACAGATTTAGAGAGGTTAAGTGACTTGTGGAATCCCCACCTAGAAAGTGACAGAGCTGGGACTCTGCCAAGTCAGGCACCATCATTTCGCTTCTCTATTTTTTTTTTTGTTTGTTTCTTCTTTTTTTGTTGTTTGTTTCTTTTTCTCATTCTCATTTCTCTTTGTCTTTCCTTTTTTTCCTTCATTTCTTCCTTTCTTTGCCTTTCTTTCTTTTCATTCTTTTCCTTCCTTCCTTCCTTCCTTACCTTTTTTCTGTTTCTTAACTGCTGTGCCCAGAACTTTATCTCTGCATGTAGAAACAGTCCTTGTGCCTAGAAAGTTGGCAGTCTCACTAGATTAGGCATGATGCATGCACCTCAATTAGAGTAATTCATGACACAATCTACTGGGCTCTAAATCTAGAACTGTAAGCTTTCATGGAATGGAACACTTTTCTGATGGGCAAAGTCGACAAACAGATTGTGAGACCAAACTGAAAAATGTTGTCCAGGGACTGAAGAAATAAGAAAGGCCTTGCAAATGAGAAGCCGTAAGTGAGGCATAGAGGTCAGGCCCAGTGTCGGTGTGGCAGTGCGATGAGAGGGAGAAGATCCATTTTCACTGAGTCGAGGTCAGCTGCTGATTTACAGTGGAAATAATGAAACCCAAGCCTCAGAGCCCCTCACTTAGGTGGGCACTTTCCAAGGCTCTGTGTCATATTTTGCTTTTTGTTCTTGTCCTTGTATCTTCAAAGAAAGATTCCAAGTTATTTAAGCCTCAATCCCCACAAAACTCAGATTCCTCCCCTCTTGAGGTAAGGGACTGGTTGAAGAATTTGTGAAAACCAGTCTGACTGGTAAAGAGATGCAAGTAGGCGAGTTTGCCTCCGTTTACCCTGCTGCAGGCTACTTCCCACTGGCAGTGAGCACCAAGTGACAATGCAGTGTCCTTGTACTCCAGCAAATGCAGAGGTTGATTTCATAAGACTTTTCCTTACTTCGTTAATGAGAGCTAAAATCCTAAAGTGGATATAGGGTTAAGGAGAGAGAACCTGGGATATGTTCTTTTAGGCTAATGCCTCTGCTGGTTGTTAAAAAGGGTTGATGATGGTGGTGGTAAATCATTGTAGGGTCATACCTGATAAGAGTGCCCAATAAATAGATATTGAATGGATGAACAAATTGTGGCTTTACAGATATGAATTAGCCATGCCAAGATTCCCCTTCTGGCAGTGGTCTTCCATCTCAGGTATACAACTTGTATTTTGTCAATATTGTTCCATGTGGGGTCATACAGGTAAAAGATCTTTTTCACCAACGTTTGGATTTTTTTTCCTGTGTGAGTGACCCTCAGAGTTTGTCTTTAGTCTGCCAGCAACTTATCTTTCCCAAAACCAGTAAGTCCTTAACCTTCTACATTAAGCTGTTTATTGTAATAGCGCCAATGAAGTAGTCATGGGCCAACAGCATTGTCCCTGCCCTCAAGCATGTCACATTCTAGTTGGGCTAAATAAAGCTAATAATTACACAAAGATATCATCCTACACCTCATTAAGGAGGAGAACACAGAACAGGACCAACTTCAGGACAGGAAGTCAAAGGAGGCTTTCTAAGAGAAACCTCTAGCGACATTTCCACTGAAACTAGAAGGGAGAGTGGAGGCACATAAGGAGGAAAGAAAGAGGAAAGAAGCAGATGGGAAGGTGCAGAGCCTCTGGATTCAGGAAGGAGCGTGGCATATGGTACAGAACATCTTTCCATGAAGCCGGCTCTTCAACAGGAGATTAAACACAGTGAAGGAAACTCCATGATGGAGCTAACAAATGAGACAGGGCAAGGCAGGAGCCCACCAAGGTTGGGTATCCAGTCAGATACCACAGTGAGCCAGGGGAGCTCAGGTATGCTTGGAAATTCTGGAAGCTGATAAAAATCAAATGCAAAATCACAGTCTTGCCCCAAGGTTGAGGAAAGTGGCATGAGGTTATGTGGTGCCATCCGTTGTTGATTGAGGTAATTCTGTTCCTAAGGTGGGCTCTGTGTGCTGACTGCCTGGGCAGAAAGATGAGCTGCAGAGATCACCAGAGGGCAATAAGTAAAGACGTTTGAGAGACTGGTGGCCAGAAGTTAGTGGTGTGCACTCAGGTCGGGGTTCCGGGCTAAGGGCGGGTCCTGACAGCACCTTTGCGCTGTCTGTCCAACACCAAGTCAGCAGCTTTCTGAGATGTCAGACCCTGATCAGTTTCAGATCATTTCCTAGCATGAAGCCATGTAGGCAATAACCCTATCCCTTGCCCAAGAGTAAATTCTAGATGCTCATGGGCAATCACATAATTCCTATCCTCTTTGGTTTAGAGGCCGCAGTTGCAGCTACCAAAAATGAGAACTTTTCTTGGAAGCTGTTCTAGAATGAAAGAAGACACACATGTAAAGAAGCAATTCCTCTCTTTCATTGATTTCTGGGACCATCATGGCCACCTTGCATCTAGACGAGGGCTGAGAGTGGTATTATGGAGATAGGAACCCAACGGAGAGGAGACACAGGCTGACAGATTGCATCTGGAGCCTGCTCTGTCTGCGGGCTGCTTCTCAGGGAGCATGAATGTCAGAGCAAGCTGCTGCGACAGAATTTTCAATGTCTTGAGCTAAAAGCACGGTGATTGATGTGCCAGGTAGGAGGAAGGGAAAGAAGATGCAACTGGCTTGGGGTGGGGTGAATGAAGGGAAACTGAACTTTGCCGTTAATGTTCCCAACCTTTCGGGGTGAAGATCATGCATGTGGAGAGGGGGTCCCTGAGGGTCAGATGACAAGTAGTTCTTTGAGATCTGTTCCGGGGCTTTTGAAAGAGTTTCCACACCAGTCATCTCAGTTGTCCCCTGGTGGGTGTCATTGTTCACACATTGCAGTTGAGAGAACTGAGGATCAGAAAGATTCAATATCTTCAGAGAGCTGAAACCAGAAATCTGGAGCGTTTGGTCGTTAATCCAGAGCTTTCTTCTGCTGTGAGCTAGGGAAGGATTAAGTGAGGATCTGTTCTGGCAACTTTTGGAAGGTCATGGCTCAGATGGAAACCAGTCAGCACAAGTCAGAGCTGCTTGGTGTTGCCTTCAGGACCTTGCTTCACCTCCAGGCACATGCCAGCTTCTCTGAGCACCTTGCAAATGCACTGGCAACCTCCCTCTCATTTTGTTGGCCATGTGATCTGTGGAATTAGCCTTTCCCACACTTTAGAGCTGAACAACAATTCAATTAAACCAAAAGATTCCAATTTTGTGGCTGCAGTGTAAAGATATATAACTGTTTTTAAACCATAATTGTTTCATTCATTGATTCATTGTTGTAACAGACACCTGTCAAGTGCACTGCCATTGGCCAAGTACTGTGGTAGGTACTAGAAGCAATAAGATGAAAAAGACAGAGGCCTGGCCCCAGAGGTACAAACCAACAACTAAATAAATGCACATTACCAAATACCACAATAACAAGGTGTTTCAGGAATTGCAAGATAAAGACTTAGCTCTGTTGAGCAAAAGGACTCTGGACTTGAGTCTCCGAGGATGAGTAGGAATTCCTCAGCAGAAAGAAGAGACAGGGAACTCTGGGCAAAGTGACCAGCACGTGCGGAGACAAGGTAGTGTAGGAGGTAGTGCAGGACAGGCTGACTGGCCATATGAGGGAAAGCAAAAGTTAGAGGATACAGGACAGGAAGGAGAGCCAGACTAGATTTCCTCTAAAGTTTGGACAGCCTAGATCCAATGTTTTGAGACCATGGTCACTATAGAAAGGACAAAATATAGATGCACAGCCTGGGAGGGTTGTACTGGTATGCCTGCAAAGGGTGGAGATGGCCGGGTGGTATAGAGGCAAGGCAATCTGGAAACTAGTGCAGTAACAGAGCATAGGTGAGGGGGCTGCAGCAGTGGAAGCTGGGAAAAGGGGCCCACTGTGTGGGAGCAGAATCATAGGCTATGAGACTGCAGGGAATGGCTGGCACGTTCTGGCTTTGGTACAGGAAGAGCAATTCGGTTGTCTTTGAAGGGACTCCCATGTGGAGCTGGGTGGGGAAAGACTGGAATGAGATGCCAACCTGTCAAGCTCACTGTCTGGAGCAAATCAAGAGGAGGTTACCAGGTAGCTGTGGACTGTGTGCATCTGGAGCAGACGGTAGAGATGTGGGAGCTGGTTCCCCCCAGGTGTCGGCAGCATGAAAGTGGATGCAATCCTGAAGAACACTGTTTGATTTCTATTTTTGGAAGGGAACTTATTGAACATTCCACATTTGAACAAATCATGGAGGATTTTTTAAAACATCATTGAATGTAGAAGAACATCTTTCTCTGTTTTATTTTAAAGTGAGGATTTAATGACTTAGAATTCATGGAGCCTCTGGTGGGTGTTTTGTGCCTGTAGAAACGTGGCAGGCAGGTGCCTTGGTACAAAGAGTGTGGTGTGAAGGTCAGACAGAACGCCTTCACCCTCCAGTTTCATGGGTTGCAACATTTGGTGT